AAAATATTTAAAATTTATATTATTTTGGTAAAAAAATATACTTTTTTTAAGGATAATTTTTTATTTACTTTTTACTTTCTATTTTACAAGTTATTGCACATTTAAGAGCGTCACGGCGTGACAAATCGATGTCACGCTGTGACGCGCGTATTTTGAGCGTATTTTATCTGTCAAAATATTAATAAAAGTATGAAAAGTTTAGTTTTTATAATACAGTTATTTCAATATTATAAGAAAGTTTATTTTTTATTTTATAAGTCTTATAACCGAAAACTTTTGTTTTCTCGATTAAAAACGCATTAACGCGTGTCATGGAATAGCTCAATATTAACTTTATAACAATAATGGTTTGGTCTACTTTATATTCAATGATAATTCAAAAACATTTTAGTTATAAATCAACCCTGAAATTAACGGGGACTGATTTATGTCCCCGTAAGCAGCCGGTCAACACTTTTTTTGCTAATCTACTATAGCATATATATATATATATATATATATATATATATATATATATATATATATATATATATATATATATATATATATATATATATATATATATATATATATATATATATATATATATATATATATATATATATATATATATATATATATATATATATATATATATATATATATATATATATATATATATATATATATATATATATATATATATATATATATATATATATATATATATATATATATATAAATAAATAAATAAATAAATAAATAAATAAATGATAAGTAACTATATTCCAATATATTATATATACAATAATATTTAAGCGATATTAAATTGTCGTTACATATTATTTATTATATTTATATATATAAACAATTTTACAACTAACGCGGCCGGTTAGCTCAGTTGGTTAGAGCGTCGTGCTAATAACGCGAATGTCGTGGGTTCGATCCCCATACTGGCCAATTTTTAATAAAACTTTTCACATGTTATTAAAGCTATATACATGTTATAAAAGCTAAAACTTTTGTAATTTTATAACAATTCATCATGGACCTAAACTCATCAAAAATTATTAAAAGTGTACGTATGTAAAATTAGCACTACGCTTTTAGCGAGGTTAAAGTGATTTTTTTTGTGGTAATATTTATTTTTGAGCGATTTTCTTTTTTTTTTGATACGCTCATACATAACATAAGCATAGATTTTTTTTAGATTAGCATCATTTTGTCCCATCAACCCTTCCTCTTTATTGTCAATTATTGTCAAACTTTTCAGCACCCCCTCACTTTCCTCTATTAACTGACATCATTTATGGATGGCCCCTAATTAATCATAAATGATGTGTTCTACATGTATTTTACAATAAATCATTTCTAAATTGAATTATTTAAAACTGTAATATTTTTTATGCTTACTTATATAAGTAAAAACTGTAATATTTTTTATGCATACTTATATAAGTAAGCATGAAAAATATTACAGTTTTAAATAATTCAATTTAGAAATGATTTATTGTAAAATAAATTAGCTAATTAGCTAAGTAAGAATACATGTAGGTAAGAATACATGTAGTAAGAATACATGTAGGGCCGTCCAGAAGAGATCTTGAAGTAGGGGGAGGGGGAGAGGCACCATTTTTTTAGCGAGTAATGCCTAAAAAAGAAAATTTTGCGAACTAAGATCTAGAAAAAAAAGTAAGGTCTTCGTTCGCTGACATTTGCAAATAAATAGTTTTGAAATTAGTTTTTAAAAAGAGCAAGCGAATAAAAATTAAGAAATCAAAAAGAAAAAAAAGGATAGAAAAGACCTAATTTGTTAGGTCTTTTCTGTCCGTATTTTCGGCAAACAATTTAAATTGGTATGTGCTCATTTAATCAATAATTCTTTTTTATAATTAAACCTCTTTTTTGTGCAGGTAGAAAGATTTCAAAAATCTGTAGTCCGTGTATTTTTTTCTTAAACATTTTAGTAAATTGTTGTACAATAAAATCGTTCACATTTAAATAGGGACCATCCATAAAGAACGTTACCATTTTTTAGCCAATATTTGACCCCCTCCCCCCTTTGTCACCGGTTGTCCTTTTTCCATATACCCCCTGGAAAAGGACGTCATAAAATCCTATTTTTAACTCTAAAAAAATTTATTTCATCTTGCAATGATGTTTGAATCTGCTGCTACACCTTTGAAAAATAAAATTAAAAATATTCTTATACACTATCTTCTTAAAAACACATGTTTACGTAGTTTTTCATGTTAATTAAAATAAAAAATCTATAAAATGACGTCCTTTTTTTGACAACTTCCCCCTCCCCTTGTCCTTTTTTGTCCTTTTTAACTCGACCCCCTCACCCCCCCTATTTGGATGACGTCCTTTATGGATAGCCCCATAATAAAATCATAAGAACTAAGTAAAAGATAGTTATGCAGATATTTAATTTTATAAAAAGAACGCGGAGACTCGCAGAAGACCAAGTCTTGTCATCGAGAACCGCTCGTAATTTACAACCTCAATAAATCATAATCAAACATAGTTATATATCTCTACAAAAACTTGATAGCATAAATACATCAAATAATACATGAAACTATTAAACGTTTAAAAATACAAAAGTATATTATCCAGAGACAAAATAATTTCTTTAAGTTTATTCTTAAATGAGAGGTAACTCCATTCCAGAGAAAAACCAAAATATTTTAAAACTATTTTAATCCAAAGAGAAGCTCCGCGAAATGCAATGTTTGTTTTTCAAAAATTAGTTTGATAAAATGGTTGCCGAATTAAATTGTCATTTCTCAAATTGTATTTATTTTTATCATTCAAGGTATATAAATTATTGAAAGAAACTGGGGATGAATTTATTTTACATTTGTAAATAAAGCAAAGAGTATTAAAAACATTGAGCTGATATATTTTAAAAATTTTCATTTCAGATAAAAGAGGCCTGGCATGAGTAAATCTATCTTTAAAATTGATAAGACGAGCAACATACTTCTGCTGACAATAAAGAGGTTCCAGTTTACTTTTATTGGCACTACACCAAGCAATATTTGCATAGTTTAAATGACAATAGATAAAAAAAAAATATAATTCTGTTAAACTTTGTTCATTTTATTTCTAGCTTTTCTAGCTTTATACATTTACTCTTATATCTTTAGCAATTTTGTTGTACAAAAAATTTAATGTGATATTTCCAGCTAAGGTTTTCATCAACATATATACCTTCAAAGTTAGAAATTATTTCTCTTTTTATTTGGATTTTGTCTATAAAAGTAAGGGCAAGTCAAAGGAGGAAGTACAAGTAGACGGACCCCAAAAACTCACGGACCCCAAAAGCCACATGCTCACATTAGTACCTGTTATTCATAGATTAAGCCCTATCAAGGAGCAAAACAAATTTTTTTATTTGACAAGATACTTTTTTGAAAGGAAAATGTTAAAAATAAGAAAATTACTCTAATATTTTGAAAACTATTCATAAAACACTATAATTTTTTTTTTTTTCAATTGTGTGACTTTTTGACATAATAGTCTATAAAAACTTGAAATTTTCATTTAAGTTTGCAAAGTAAAGTTTTTTGTAAAGATTTAAGACATACTTCTGCAAATAAATCAATAGAAAATAAATAAAAATGACAGTTGCTAAAATAACTCAACTTAACTAATGAGTATTTATGTGTGGTTTTTGGGGTCCCTTAACAAAAAAATATATATATGGATCTAAAACTCAACATTAAATTGCATTTTTTCTTTTTTCTATTAATAACTATTTAACAATCAAATAAAAGATTGACAAGTTGTTTGTAAAAAATATTAACTATTGACTCTCAAATAAGTTGATCAACTAATTGACTATTAATAATGGAATTTTCTTCATATCACATATTGTTATATGGACATAAGAACTGTAAAGTCAGTTTATTGGTGTATCCTTCAAACTGCTAGCATCTTCATCACTTTCATGCTCAATAACCTTACGTTTGAGTGAGTTGTTGGTTGCTGCAGCAGCTAAAAACATTATCGGTTTCTTCCCATCCACTTTGAGCATTGTGGCAAGAAGAGCATTGCTGTAGTTTTATGGCATGGCACACACTTTCTCCACAGTTATATTCATTTTTACACCGTAAAAATGCTTCTTTTTGTTTCTCTTTGTTCCATCTTCTTTCTTCCTTATCTTTTATTTCTTGATTTTTATTATCTTGAATTACCTTGACTAAGTCCAACACATTTTTTCCTTTCATTGATTCGTGAACCTGCGTAACCCTTGAAGTAAGTTTGGAAATTTTTGGCTTAACTTTCTGCACTGTCAGTAAACCAGGAATTTCTTCAAGTTGAATGCTTTTTTTGCTTAGCTCTTGAATTAGCTCTTGCGAACGTTCAAATTTTTCTTTCCAATACTGAGCTGAATTTTTTCTTTTATCAGGAGAACTAATAGTATATCTTCCATGAATTGTTGTACTGAGTGTAACACCTTTTGGAGTATCAATACATAAAGCAGCTCGTGCAAACTTGTCCTGCTGCATATCGTTAATATTTAATGATGTGGAAGTTACTCCCACACGTCTTGCAGCTTTGATTATAAATTGTCTTGGGGCCCAGTTGTTCCAAATACGTCCTAAAATCATCATAAAAGCTTCTTTATTTAGTGAATTGGAATCGATAAAAACGTTTTTTTTCATACCACGATACTCACGATGAAGGTTTTTATTGAGTTAATCTAAAAGCTGTGTCACACCAGTGGTATCTGGTGGAGTTAAGAACATACGTATGTTTTTTGATTGTAAAAACTTTAAGACATCAAAGTTAAAGCGTGAACAATGCCCATCAGAAAGCAAACTACTGGTCGTGCAACTTTTTTTTCAGTAAGATATTCATCAAACTCTTTATACATATCTAATAACGAATTGCGATCAGATACACCATGATTGCACGTTGTTATTAGAAGATGCGGAATATTTGCCACAGCTTCCTGTGAAGCCATTTGATTAGTTATTCCAACAGTTCCAAAGAGTACTTGACAGACACAAAGGTCTCTTAAAATTACAAAGAAATATTATACAACACCACCCTTTCAATCTATATTATAAATATTTATCAAAAAAGTGATATGGAAATAGCTACCTGAAAATGATACTAGAGGATGAATGGTGACACATTCACGGTTCTCTCTTATCATTTTACAACATGTTTCTCCTTTTGCAGCAAAAACAAGACCAGCAGGAGTACCATCAACACCAAAATTTATAAAGTGTGGTGTTTCATCATGATTAAATATTCTGCATAGATCAATATTTCCAGACCAAACTCCTGTCTCCTTTTGGGCTGCTTCAGTCATAATGCCAGCCTCGATCAATTCCTCTGCAAGACTGTCTAAAGACAAGCATGACAAACAATTAGTAACTCAGTTTTGCTAGAACTATTTTCATGAATGTAAAGTAAGAATTCATAAACTGATAACAAGGCGTAGCTCTGGGTTAAATTTTAAATAAAGCATATGCATACTATGAAATATAATAACTCAATATTTACTCATACCAAGGTGGGAACATGCCATTTCCTTTGTGAAATTGAGAGCTCTATTTATTGACACATTTCCTTGTCGCTTGAGTGTTAAGCTTGGATTCTTAGCTTTAAAGCGCATCCAGAACGATTTACCTAATCTGCGTTTTAAATAAAATTAAAAAAAAAAAATTAACAAGTTAAACTAAAAAACATATATATATATATATATATATATATATAAATATATATATATATATATATATATATATATATATATATATATATATATATATATATATATATATATATATATATATATATATATATATATATATATATATATATATATATATATATATATATATATATATATATATATATATATATATATATATATATATATATATGTTTATATATATATATATATATATATATATATACAAAAAACATAATTACTTGTTTTTTTTCAAAGCATTTTTTGTATTTGCTGATAATGCTGTGAATTTTCTCCCACCTTTCAATCTTTTATTTGAGTATTGTCTAACTTTCAGAACATCAAGGACAAGTTTTGTTAGTTCTGCTTTATTATGCCCTGCATTGCTCAATTTTTATTCTTAATGTATGAAACAATTGACATCTCTTCTTCCTCCAAAAGAATTGCACAGTACTGCCTTTCAAGACCATTGACTATTTTCCCATCCCATGGTTTATAGTTTCACGATCTTTAATAAGTGGGAATTGTCTAGTTTTAATTGCAGCATGTCCTCTTACATTATTTTCTTTACACCATTGAACAGCTGCTTCAAGTTGTTTGTTTTTTTCTAATGTAGCTTTTCTCTTTATAAGTGCTTTAGCATTAGAACTTGGGTTTAGAGATTTCATCTGCAAGCGAGTTTTGAACTTTTTGCTGCTGTTACTCATGCTTATTTAATTTCTTAAAAACAAAAAATCGAAAATCACATAAACTTAACTAAAACTATCCTCTACGCAAGAGCGTAAAATAAAATCATTTTATAAATTTAGTATAACCAAAACGATAGCTACAACTACTACAAATCTACTCTAAATCTTGAATTTTTGTAATATTACTTAGATTTTTGTCAAAACTAAAATAACTCATGTTGTTTTTGGGGTCCCAACCATGCGGTTTTTGTAGCGCCTCAGGTACTTCCATAAAGTATAAGTTTGCAATCAAAATACTATATGAAGGGGAATTTAATATAACAAACTTATTCAAAATATGGGAAAGTTAAAAAAAAATTCAAAAAAGTTGCACACGATTTAAGCCATGTGGTTTTTGAGGTCCCATACTAAAATATAGCGAAACTTTACATTGAAAAAAAAAGTAAAAAAAAAAAAAAAAAAATTTAACCCCTGGGAAGAACTTTTACTATATAAAAGAATATAAAAAAGAAAAAAAAAGTTAAGTTTTTTGTTTTGTACAAAAGATATAACAAAAGAAAAAATCATGTGGTTTTTGGGGCCCGTCTACCTGTAGTTTCTTTTTAGAATTCGGATGAAAAAGAGATTTTTCATCGACATTTTGTGACAATTTATTCATTTTGAACCATTCACAAATTTTGACTAATTCAATGTTCATATTTTAAAATAATTTTATAATACTTTTATGCAATAAAAAGAGATTAGTGTCATCAGCAACCATGACAGTCATTAAATATGTCGCTTTAGTGAGATCATTGATGTAAATTAAAAAGAGAATTGGTCCGAGTATAGAGCCTTGGGGAACTGTAATAGAATATCACCGCACCTTAGAATATCACCGCACCAGTAGAAATAATGAAAACGAGGATGCATTTTTAAGAGTAGGTACAATCGGCGGGGCGGGGCGGATAGCGGGGCGGAACGCGGCACATTTATAGTTTGATTTCTGCAAACAAAATCAACCTAACCAAACACAATGCTAAATTTGTTTAAAAAAGAAATGACTGTTCCAGTTTTGACAGGTTGTTTAAATCATCTTAAGATAGAGGTTATTGCAAGTCTTATTGCGAAGAGCAATAATGAAGATAGACCAACTACTCTCAACAATCCTAAGGCAGGCGAAGTTTATGTTATACAAGTGAATCATGGAAAAGGTTAGGCAACAATATTTCAGTACACTTTTAAAGTATTTGTATTTTGTAAATATATTTGTATACTAAAATAGTATAATGTAGAATATAGCATAGTTATTGGGTTATATTAGTAAAAATCAATTACTATGCATTAATTAATACACATGTCAAGTTTGGGGACAATCTAAAACCGTATGTCGTTTCACTTCAAAATAGAGCGGTACGGATTATTCATTTTTGTCCGAGAAATTTTTCTACTGACATCCTATATCTTACATCCAAAATTCTTCGTTTCTATGACTTAATTCAGTTCTTAAATTGTTCATTTGTCTGGGATAAACAACATGGTGTCCTTCCTACTATATTTCACAACTACTTTAATAACAGAACAACATGTGGGCATAACCTAAGATCAGTCACCTATAACAACTTAACTCTTCCACTAAAACAGACAAGTAAACATGGAATTAATTCCATTGCATACCAGTGTATCCTTTCTTGGAACTCCCTTCCGAACACCCTAAAATCTGGTCTCATCCATAGGTTCAAGAGTCTGTTCTTAAAGTCACTCCATAATTTCTACCTAAAAGGTTACGCTTAACTTTACTTTTTACTTTTTTTTCTACCTTTTGCCTTATTTTTTATTTTTATTATAGTTTATTATTTTATTATAATTTTATTTTTGTTATTTTATTTTAATTTATAATTTTTATTATAATTTACTAATTTTATTATAATTCTTGTTAAAGTATATGTGCATATATAAATGTACATTATATTAATTATGTTAAATATATTCAAAAAGTCTGATTTTTTTGGTATAACTAAATAAATTTTTATGCAATTTCACTTTTATTAGTTAATATTATGTTATTTAACTTCCTTTTATAACCTATTTTTTATGTGGTTTTACTTATTACATATTATTATTATTATTGTTATTATTATTTTTTATCTTATTTAGGTCATTGCTCTTTATTAGCGAATCACTATTTGCAATGACCTGTTATACTTGTAATCTTATAAGTTATACTTGTAATCTTGTAATCTACAGTGTATATACTGTAGACTAAAGTCTACACTGTAGGTTACATCTACACCGTAGATTACAATCTACATGTAGACTGTAGCCTACATGTAGTCTACCTGACTGTATATAGTTGTATTTCTTTTAATATGTTTAAAGTAAAATCTAACTTTAATTAGGCATAGTTAATCGTTTACTAAAGCTTATGCTACAGTATAGCAAGGTATTTTATTAATAAATATAAAAGGGCATCTAAATGTCATTTAATATTATATTAAATGTTTTCAAGTTGTCATTTAATATGCAATATTATTTTGAAGCTAAAAATTGACTTTCCTATTATAATTTGTTTGATGATTTATTTATTATTGTAAAATGGCTCTATAGCAAACTTACATGCTTATGTAAGTTACATGCTTTATGCTTTTTTATGCTTTATACCAATATTGGCATAATATAAAAATGATAATGCAATATAAGACATGATATAAAAAAAATTCTGCAGATTTTTACATGACCTTTTTTATACATGCTATTTAAAAGTATCTGTGTTATGATTTTAAAATGTGAGCGCCAATGTGCTTTCATTGTACTTGCTTAAAAATAGTTATATATTATAATAATATAGTTACTGCTGTATTATTAAAAATATTATTATAAATTATTATTAGTAGTAGATACAGTGTAGCTATGTGTTAATAGCGAGTGAATTAAAAGCTCATTTTTGATAATGTAGGTATATACTAATAAAAAGAATTAAAAATTTAATTTAAAATTACTTTATAAGACTCAAGACCAAAAGTAAATTTTGTTTAATTTTTTTTTCCTTTTTATTGGTATTAAGATTTTTTATTAGTATTAAAATTTTTTATTAGTATTAAAAATTTTTATTAGTATAAAAACTTATTAAGTTATTTTTTTTAATGCTATGATATGGTATATCAAAGATATGGTTATCAAGGCCAAAATTCTGGGAAAACATGTCTATATGATGGAATAAATGGTGGATTTTTAAAATTTTTTGAGTGGACATCCTGTTCAATAATGCCCTTTCTCTTTAAGACAAGGTGCAAAAACACAGTTTAAACATAGTTGGACCTGCTCTTGCAGTCAACCTCTAACCATTGTTACATCCGCGTAATGTTGCCTCTCTTTCTTTTATCTATAAATACTTTAACGTGAACATACCTGCTCACTATTTTGTATATAGTTTTTTAAAAAAAAATTTATAAAGAGGCTTAAATAAGAGTCAACTGGTTTACTCTAACAAGAACATTATGTTTGAATTTTAAGTTTTTTAGAATGTGAAGCTTTTTTAACATATAATCATACAAAAAATTTAGTTCATTTAAAAATGCAGTACTGTTTCTTTAATTATTGTACCTAAATAACATAGAACTTACATCAGTGAGGACTTCAAAGGTATTGTTAATTAATATAATTAGCGTACAAAAAGTTCAATAGCATTAATAATTTAATAATAAACACAGAGTAATTACTACCTAGATAGCAATAAATTTGTGTTTATTGTTGATAATAAAGTTACATTAAGGTAGTACTTAACTTTATTATCAATCTTATATAATATATTGTCAATATTATTATTTAAATTATTTTAAATATTATTGAATATATGTTCAACATAAATATTATTTATTAATATGTTATCGTTCTAACTATATTATTAAATTAAATTTATTACCATATCAATCTTAATCATTCTACTAATACAACTTTGGCTTGCTTAATCATTTATCTTAAAATAAATATATGAAATAAATATTTGAAAAATGCTCTCATGTTTCTTTGTAACTTAACGTGAGTGCAGTTTTTGCCCTCATGCTATGCACATTTAGTGACATAGGGGCAAATTCATATTATGAGACCATTCAGTGTAACATAATATTGTTACGCGAGCATTATTTTAATATAAGGCCAAAATTCGTATCTCCAGAGCTAGGCAATTTATAACATTAGGGCAACCAGGGATTACTGCTACTACTACTACTACTACTACTACTACTACTACTACTACTACTACTACTACTACTACTACTACTACTACTACTATGACTACTGTTACTACTACTACTATGACTACTACTACTACTACTGCTGCTGCTGCTGCTACTAAGAAAAAAATATATATCAAATTTTGGGAATTTTAAACCCTTTGGGAATTTTCAATCCATTGGGAATTCTACAGTATACTCAGTGTCATTTGGCTAATGATTAGACTAGCTAACACCCTGAATATATTCCATAAATTTTCTGTTCTGATTATAATGAATTCCTATCTTGTTATAAAATTGGTTTGTTCTCAGCTGTATTTTTTATTGTTACCTCTGCAAGTTTTGAACTTTGTTTGTTTGCCCATATTTTTGCTCTTTGGTTGTCCGAATTACCACCACTTAATTTATATGATGTGAGGTAATAGCTAATTTGTAAAAGCTATTATAATTTAATAGCGTTTACAAATCTTTAGTGTAAATATGTCGTTGTTTTTCTTTATATCTATTTTTGTACATAATTATCTTATATAGAGTTTTTGTTGATTAGAAAAAATCTATATAAGTTGTAAATAATACGTAAAATAACAGAGTTCTTAAAAGTAAAAAAAACATCCTCCGTCTCGAACAATCTCTCATTTTCTGAGACTCTTTGTTAACAAAGAGTCTCATTTTCTGAGACTCTTTGTTAACAAAGAGTCTCAGAAAATGAGAGATTGTTCGAGACGGAGGATGTTTTCAATATGTGGGCACTTAATTGGACACTACTAATTGGAAACTGGCTCAGAACTGCCTGCAGTTTCACAAAACATTATAGTCAAGGAAATGCTTGGGTTGATTTAATAGGAGATCAAGCGCAGTCATGGTTGGTCAAAATATTGCGCCGTTTGGAAGCTAGTGATCCTGTAAAAGGGACATGGAATGCTGATGGTATTCAAAATGTAGCAATTTTGTGGTGTGATGCTAGTAGTATTGCAATGGGTGTTGCAATCAAATATAATGGCATAATCAGAAATTATCTTTTTCCGGATATTTCCAGAATTCGGGATATTTTTTAAATTTTTTACATTTTCCGGATAATTAAATAGTTTTCGAAAACATAATTTATAAAATTTTTGTTTGTTTGTTACTGTCATCAAATGAAACAGTAACAAGAATGTATAAACAGCAAATGTGTTGTCCATAAATAACGGAACGCTATATTTAGTTAACAAACAAAGCCAAAAAGATTTCCCTCGCAGAGGAAACCAAAAATTAATAAGCATTTTAATTGAAGTTTAATAAAAATCCCAGCGCAAAAGAGCGAATGATCTCCTACTTTTAAAATAAAATTAGCCATGAGTGTCAAACTCTTCTCTTTTTAAAAAAAAATTGTAAATTTACATCTTTTAAATAGCTCTTTTAGCTATTAGCAAAGAGATTTCATTTTTTATTGTTTTATAACTTTTTTTTTAAGTTAATCACTTTGCTTATGGACAGAAACTTTTCTCAGTATGTTTGTCGGTGATTCAAAACTTATTGCACCATTATTTCGTTTTCTGTCCAGTCGTATCATTGCAAATCTCTTATCGTACCCACTTTTTGAAAGTATCATTTTTTTGCATGACTTCTTATTAATTGGAGACTTTAAAAAGTTTTGACGATGGTATTGGGTTATAAAGTTGCTTTTCTTTGAATGCAAATCAAATTTAACTGTTTGAATTGTCAAAAACGTTTCTACATCAAGTCTTCTTGTTTATGACATCATTCATAAATATCTTTTTACTTTACTTTTATTTTATTTATTTTCTTTATTTAACTAAGTTATTTAAGTTTATTACTAAAGATTTATTATTATTTGTACTTTAGAAGTCTGGTGTTTTATTATTATTACTTCTTTTTTTTTTTTACTGCGATTGAAGTATGTTCTCAAAAATAGTAAAAATAAAATTCATTTATATTTTCCAAAAGTTAGTGTTTTACAGGTAAAATGTTTACTGAAAGAAGTTGGCAAGCAAAAGTGTTGAATAAATGTCAATTTATTTTTTAAAATTACTACATAAAAACCAAAACGCCTTTGATCTGTAATAACGCGTTAAATGTTTATCTATTTGTATATCTTTGGTCAATTGAAGCAATAATTCATTTTCCATTATGTATTTAAATGTATAAGTGCATGTCTAAAAAAGTTTCCGCATTGTTTAACAGCTTTTAAATAAAGTCTTCTACTTTTTCTTTGGCTTTTTCTTATTATTATTATTATTGTTAAAATTTTATTATTATTATTCCTTTTTTGATGAAAATTTTTGATGAAATTAGGATACTATTGAACTGGCGTAATATTATAGTAATATTAAAAAATGGAAGAGAGCACGCTTCTCTCCTTGTTAACATCTTTTTGTAAATTCCGGTTTTTTTTCACTGATAATTAAGGGAAAAAAAATCCGGATTTTTAAAATATGGTCAGGATAATCTATGCGTAATAGTTGAGGATGTAGCATGGCTACAAAGTATAAATGACATCATGCATATTAATATGGCTGAATTAGACGCTATGGTGCGTGGAATAATCCTATCTGTTAAGTGGGACATCAAGAACTTAATGATATTTACCGACTCGGTAACTGTTCATGGATGGTTAAAAAGTGTGTTGACTGAAAGTCATAGGGTTTGGTCAAATGGACTATCAGAAATGCTAATCAAACGAAGACTTTCATTGCGTGATTTAATAAAGGAATACAGCTGGAACATCATGGTGAAGTGGGTTCCGTCCTAAAAAAACAAAGCAGATGTATTGACAAGACGTTTCAAAAAAAGTGGTTAAATGAATTTTCACTAAAAAATGTTATAGAATTATGTGGGGTATATATTGCCAATAAAATTCATAAATGTCACTCGAAGCATCATTTTGGCATTAATCAAACAATGTTTACAGTACAACAAAGAATCCCGCGAGTGTCAAGAAAAGACGTTGAAGACTGTGCGCAAATGTTGTCAATGTAATCCAATTGATCCAGCGCCAATAAAATGGGAACTTGGAGTGCTAGATATACCAGATACATGGTATCGTATTGCATGCGATGTGACTCACTATAAAGGGTCACTGTACCTAACAATGATTGACTGTGGACCAAGTCGATTTACAGTATGGAGAAAGATGTTACACAAAGATACCAAAAGTATATTAATTCAATTGGATTCCGTATTTAGGGAGCATGGCCCACCACGAACTATTGATGGACAATATATATATATATATATATATATATATATATATATATATATATACATATATATTTATATATATTTGTGTGTATATATATATATGTATATATATTTATATATATAAAAACGGTACTTCTCCTAATATAGTGTGGCTTTGATGACGTTTTCTGTAGCCCTAAATCCACTCTCTTATAGACATATATACATATAAATATATATATATATAAATATTATTTTTAGACGATTGGCGGGCAGATGGGTATTGGTGGAAGCAAAATGGCTGCAGTAAAATTCCTCGGGGTTCGCCACTTTACACAAAGATCCATTTTGCCACTGTTACATCAACAGGAATTTCAAATGATTTCCAGAAGTTTGTGTACTGTGATCTGAGTCGGACAGATCTTGTTGTTATCCATTACATTGGTAACCACAACCTTGCAGTTTTAGTTCCTCATGGTAAATATATCTTACATTTTGATAATGATTTTTGTTTTTATTTTAAAAGTTTTACATAAGTTTATTACTAAATAAAACCTACTTTAAATGAAAATTTTAAATAATAATATTTTTAATTAAAATTCATGTTGTTTAGCCTCCTCTCTTTCCCATTCTAAACTTTGCCTTGTTTTGCCCAGCCCTTCCCTCATTTTTTATGACCTTCATACGCCAATGTATACACACACATATTTATATATGTTTGTGTATATGTATGTATATTTCAGGCAATTCCAGAAAACCAATCAAGTTCTTACCAACAGCTTCATATGTGCTAGATGCAATTGCTGATTCCCACAGTTACAAGGACCTTCTTCTTGATTGCAAGGATAGCCAGGTCCAATTTCAACAAAGAAATTCAAGGCAGTTTAAGTACGTTCGTAGTGTAAAAGCCGCTAGTATGAAACTAGGCACTGAGCCTTTTTTAACATTACATGAACTGGCATATATGATTCCAGGCTTTGTGTGGTCCATATCCACTTATCCTAACTTGTTGGTTTCGTTTGGCATGCAGAATTTAATCAGTCAACTTGTCATGTGCTCTCAAATTTTTTTTTCATATGATACAACATTTAATTTAGGTGATTTTTATTTATCAATTCTAGTGGCTAAATTAAGTTGTTTTGTTGAGAAGCCTTGCATGCCTGTAGCATTTGTTTTACATGACAGGAAGTTTGATAGTGTGCATAAAAGTTTCTTTAAATCTTTGAAAAAAAATTGCCAGTTCTTAATCAGGTTGTGATTGTGACTGACAGAGAGAGTGGAATTGGCAAAGCAATAAAAAAAGTGTTACCAAAATGGAATCTGGTATCTTGCTCCAATCACATTTTGTCGAATATTGAGGTTTGGTTAAAAAAACACAGTGCTTGTCATGCAGAAATAATTGTTTATAAATCTCAAATGCAGGAACTTCTCATGAGTGAAATTTGTTTAAAAGTAAAAATTGATACATTGAAACCTTCATGGAGCGAAGCATTCTCAATTTATTTTTCAGATCACTTACACTCATGTATTTTAATATCTTATATTGGTCACCTCAGGTTCATTGGTTTAACAGATAATATAATTACAAATAATGTATCAGAATCACTAAATGCTGTCATTAAAAAGTTTCAGGATTGGAAAGAAGCGCCTGTTGATTCGATGGTTGTTGCAATGCATCGCCTTCAGACCTTCTATTTGATAGAAATTAAGCGGAGTTGTAGTAGTTTTGGACCCTACACTCTTATTGACAGCAGTCTCCTAATCAGTATGTCACATTTAATACATAACAACTTTTTTGTTTAAAATCTTATTTGTAATTGTTTTTTTGTTTGATTTTAGAATTATTTAGTAAATATTTACAAAAATGCAATATACTTGAGAGTTAGTAATGATGTTTTAAATTGAAAGTTTAAATAATGTTTTAGAAAATGCAGATGACATACCAAAAGTAGAGAGTCCAGAGCTTGTTATTGCTGCAAGAGCTGCAAGCAGCTGCCAATATACCAATGCAGCAACTCATACCTCCGTCAATATGTGTGCTTTCTAACACATTTAATGTTGTACATGTTCCAAGCCTTAAAGTTTTTACAGTCTCTGCCCCTGATGAAAATGTGCATGTTGTGAAGCTGTATCCAAAGGAAAACTGCATGTGTCCTTCTTCAACAATGTGTTGTCACATACTAGCTGTTAAGCGCAGCATTGGAGTTAAATGTAGTAAACGAAAAATCATAAATTTGACCAAATTGCGGCATAACTCACGGTAAAATAAATTACTCTGAGGTGCCTAATAAAAGAATAATTCTAATAAACAGGGAAAAATATTAGGAAAATAAGTAAAGAGTCTACAATATTATTAAACATGAGACAGTCTAAATAAGGTCTGGGCAAATGGGGTAAAAAATTTAAATATTTAATATTTGGCATCTCCGAGTACAATGTTTGTAGTTAAATATATATAATCAATTATAAATTCTATCCTTGATGACATTCAAACAAATGTGATTTATCTTAATATCTAACTTCATTAAATAAGTAATCAATATCTTAACTAATTATGAAGGTTTAGTGAACCTGGCAAAGCTATAAGGTTACTAGGGGTTATAACCTGGAGCTTGGATATTATTTTTAAAACATATTTGTTCTATATATCTTTAAACTTAATTTGTTCTATATATCTTTAAACTTTATAATTGTATTCAAGATATTTATTAATGTAAATTTTAATATATTAAAATAAGTAGATGAAACTTTTATTAGTATGACCAGATGAGTTAGAATATTATTTAGAGTTATAACAGTGTTATGAGTTTAACCAGTGTTTTGAGTTTAACCAGTGTTTAGAGTTTGAAAATTGTTTAGAATTATAGCAGTGTTGATAGTTACAACAGTATTTCGAGTTCGAATAATGATTAGAATTAGCATAGTGTTTAGAGTTTTTTTTTTAGTGATTCATCTCCCCAAGGCCAAGAAGGCCGCTACAAATGAGGAGGCTACTTAATTGTAGTTCAAACCCTCTCAACTTTATAACTTTGAAACACAAACCTTGACAAACAAGGCCGCTGCGTGGAGAAACAAGTTAAGCGCGATACTACTAGGGACGTAGTTGGAATCGAACTCAGACCTCTCGTTTATGAAACAAGCACTCTACCACTACACCACTTCCGCATTAAGTCAGAACAGTGTTTAGATTTATAACAGTGTTTAAGGTTTGAATAATGTTTAGAGTTATAACTGAGTTTAGAGATACAACAGTGTTTAGAGTTGAAACAGTGTTTAGAGTTAAAAAAGTGTTTAGAGTTATAGCAATGTTGAGAGTTAAAGCAGTATTTAGAGTTCAAATGTTTAAAATTATCATAGTGTTTACAGTTAGAACAGTGGTAAGGGTTTGAATAGAGTTTAGAGTTATAACTGTGTTTAGAGTTAAAACAGTGTTTAGAGTACGAATAATGTTTAGAGTTAGAAATATATTTAGAGTTGGTATAGTTTTAAGATTTAGTACAGTTATCAGAGTTTGAATAATGTAAAGTGTTATAATAGTGTTTAGAGATTGAATTTTAGATTTGGGACATTGTTTAGAGTTTGATCATTGTTTAGAGTTTGAATAATATTTAGAGTAAAAATAATGTTTGGATTAAGAGTTTAAGAATCAGATTAAGAATCAGTGTTTAGAGTTAAAACAGTGTTTAGAGTTAGTACAGTGTTTCAGTTACATATGATAAAGAATGTGAAAGGATACGACATTGCTAAAAGGCAAGATCATAAGCAAATATAGCCATTTTAGATTTTTTTTAATTGTCCAGAAGATCATTAATATAGATAAAAAAGAAATAATGCTGGAAGCATGCAATTCTTTATTGCATGCTTCCAGCATTATAATTTTATAATGCATTATAATATCTCATTTAACTTATGTTATATCATTCATTTATTCTCCTTTATGTCTTCTATTCTGTTTAGACACCCATCCCCTATGTATATTGTTTATAAATGTCATTCTTAGTCAAATTTACTGCTTAGAATATTACACTCCCTTAGTGTAACTAAGGATTATATCACAAACTATCAGTATGTTTAGAATGTCATACCCCCTATGCTATGGACCTTAAAATATCACATCCAGCAAATTAATTAAAAAAATATTTCACTAACTATCACTGTATGTTTACAATATCACATCCCTCGTGTATTTTGTTTATAAATATCATACTAATTAGTTGCACTTTTAGTTTAAAAACTTAGAATATGACATTTCCTTATTATAATTAGGAAATATATTGCACACTATAAGAAACAAATATTTTGAATATCACATCCCCCATGTATATTGTTCATTAATGTTATAAAAATTATTTGCATTTGATGCTTAGAACCTTAGATTATCACATTGCCTTAAAGAAATTAAGAAATATATGGCATGCTACCGGTATTATATGTTTAGAATATCACATCACCCATGTACTTTGTTAAAAAAACAACATACTAGATGGTGCTTAGAATGTTAAAATATTTCATTGCCATTATAAAATTAAGAAATATACTATCATATGTTTAGAATATCACATCGCCTATGTATTTTGTTTAAAAACAACTAACTATATAGAGCTTAGAATGTTAGAATATCACATTGCTTTAATAAAAATTAGAAATATACTATTATATGTTTAGAATATCACATCACACATGTACATAGTTAAAAAACAACAATCTATATAGTGTTTAAAATTTTAGAATATCACATCCCCTTAATAAAATTAAGAAATATACTATTATATGTTGAGAATATCACATTGCCCATGTATTTAGTTTTAAAAAAACATACTAGATAGTGCTTAGAATGTTAGAATATCACATCACCTCAATAAAATTAAGAAAGTTATGGCATGCTTCTATTATATGTTTAGAATATCACATCACCCATGTACTTTGGTAAAAAACAACATACTTGACAGTGCTTAAAATGTTAGAATATCACATCACCTTAATAAAATTAAAATATACACTATTACATGTTTAGAATATTACATCACCCATGTATTTTGTTAAAAAACAACATACTAGATAGTGCTTAGAATATTAGAATATTACATCACCTTAATAAAATTTAGAAATACACTATTACGTTTAGAATATCACATCACCCATGTTTTTGTTGAAAAACAACATACTAGATAGTGCTTAAAATGTTAGAATATCACATTACCTTTATAAAATTTAGAAATACACTTATATATGTTTAGAATATCACATCACCCATATATTTTGTTAAAAAACAATATCTTAGATAGGGCTTAGAATGTTAGAATATTACATCACCTTCACAAAACTTAGAAATACACTATTATATGTTTAGAATATCGCATCACCTAAGTATTTTGTTAAAAAACCAACATACTAGATATTTTTTGTTAAAAACAACATTTTTTGAACTTCTTGTATTATTCGGACGTACTCGGTACTCTACTAAGTTCTTTACTTCAAAACGCATCCTCGTTTTCATTATTTCTACTGGTGCGGTGATATTCTATTACAGCTATTTTTAAATGACTTTGAAATATTCCATGTTTAATTGAACAATGCAAAACTTTAATTAGTACATCCTTTAAGGGTTCATACGAGGCGATGACAATATTACTATATATTCCATAGCTCAACTTCTTCAAAAGATGCTGGCATGACAAATAAGAATTATAGCTCCAAAGTATTTGCTATTGAATCAAACAGCGCTTTAGAAGACAGGTTGAATATATTAACTGATCCTTATCAGCCAACAGACTTTACATTTCCCAAAAAGAGTATGGTGTAATACGCCGTACCTAAGCCATGTGGTTTAAAATCTATCGTTATGACGTTTATACTGATTCAGCGTTTTGCATCACGTGCATTAAAGCTATTCGTTTAAATGCTATCTTTTTGTATAAAAATCGATCTGTTTTCACCAAAAAAAGATTAATTAATTGGAAAAAAGTCACAAATAAAAATAGCGTCATGAGATTTCTCATTTGCATAACAAGGGAACATTGTGTGTTTTGAAGGCTCCAACTGAATACGGGAATCTTTGGACTATTTTTTCTTATGAATTTCATTTAGAACAGCTCAACAATAGAAGAATGCTTCCAAATATTCTATCATACATTTGGTACTTAAATAGAATTATTAAACTTGTTACGCAGCACTTATTTGGTTATTTAATGAAGTTCATTTTTACAATGAACTTCATTAAATAACCAAGCAAGTAATATAATAGAATTTCAAGAAAAAGTGAAGGAAAAAAAAAATTTTTATTGAAAAAGGAAAAATTTCAAAAATAAGAGATTGTTTCATTAATGTTGAGGTCTAGTAGATGTTGCTTTAAAACGCATTTAAAATGTTGGAATGAGTTTATCGTTTTTATTTTGTTTTTTAGAAATGAGTTCCACAATTGGGGTCTTGCTAGAAATTGAGAATTTAGATTGTCTTAAAGAGGTTTTCGGAATATAGTAGTTCTTGATATAGTATTTTGTTTGATATTTGTGATTAATAAGGTGAAAATAGTTATGAAAGACTTCAGGGACCAGAGCAAGAATGCAATATATATTTTGTTCGTAGATATTAAGAACTTTCAGTTCCCTCATTAAATTTTTAGAACTGGCATTTTTATTTGTGTTTGTTAATATACGACACGCTTCTTTTTTGTTTTTTATATATTAAATCTAGTTTTGATTGGTAGGTACTAGCCCAGGCAATATTGCAGTAGTTAATATAGCTGTGTATATATGCAAAATAAAAACTTTTAAGGCATGCATTATTTAAAACATATCTGGTTTTATGCATAATTCCAATGTTTTTAGATATTTTGTTTTTAATATATTAATGCGGTCTTTCCAGCTAATATGTTCATCTATTAATACCCCGAGAAATTTATTTGAGAACGCTCGATTTAGTCTAACTTTGTCTAATAGAATATCTGGAAGTTTTAATGGTAGTTTGTCTGGATTGTAAGGTTTTTGTGAAAAAGATATAATTACTTTTCTCAATGTTGACAGAAAGTTTGTTTGCTTTAAACAAATCGCTCAACTCTTCAAGTTCCTGATTTACTGTATTAAAAAGTGTAGTAATGTTAGAGTGGGTATAGAAAGCATGAGTGTCATCTGCAAAAAGAATGAAGTTCAATATACTGGAAGATAAAAGTATGTCATTTATATAGATTAGGAAAAGCAGAGGTAATAGAATAGACCCCTGGGTAACACCACATGTGATGATTTCAAGGGGAGTGTATGTTTTATTGAAAAATAAGGCTTGTTTACGGTTTTTTAGATAGCAACTGAACCATTTTAAATTTTTATTTTGTATACCATAATATGAAGTTTGTATAGAAGGATTTCGTGATCCACTGTATCGAAAGCCTTTGAAAGGTCGATAAATACTCCAAGGGTGTGTTTGTTTTTGTCAAAGCCACTTAAAATTTCGTTAACTAATTTTATTACAGCATGTTCAGTTGAGTGGCCTTTTTTAAATCCGTATTGGTTATTGTAGAGGATGTTATGATTTTGAAGGTATGTAAAGAGTCTATTATACATTATGCGCTCCAATATTTTTGAAAAGCACGGGAGTATGGAAATGGGTCTATAGTTAGATAAAGTCGAGTCATCTCCGCTTTTAAATACTGGAACTACTAATTTTAGGCGGTCAGGAAAAACTCCATTTTTTAATGAGAGATTAACGATATACATTAGAGAATACTCAATAACGTCATAAACATTTTAAACAACTTTAGAGTCTATGTCTTCAAGACCAGGACTTTTTCTGGACTGTATAGTTTCAAAAGCATTCCAAAGCTCATCAGGAGATAAGTCATACTCATCCATTGTTAAGTCTACTTTTTTTATGTATGATTTTTTTTATGTTGACTTTTAGTCTACTTTTTTTAAGTATGATTGATATGATATGATAAGATATGAAGTATAATATGATTATATATAATAGATTATATAATAGAATGATATGATAGATATGATTATATAATATAATAAGATAGATATGATTATATAATAGATTATATAATAGATTGATATGATATATATAATAGATATGATTATATATAATAGATTGATGAGATATGAAGTTTAATATGATTATATATAATAGATTGATATGATAAGATATGAAGTATAAAGTCTACTTCTTTTAAGTATGATTAAGTATGAAGATGAACTTCTGATGATAACTTCTGACAATAAAGTCGAAAGTTTCATAAAGTGGTTGGATCGCAAGCAAATGAAATACTATTTACCTGAGATACAAAATGAAATGATTGAGGTATTTAAATATATATATATATATATATATATATATATATATATATATATATATATATATATATATATATATTTAAGTTACTAATTAACGTAAATTTTTCAGATAATGGCGCATAGGATATTGCACGTTATTTCATCAAAAATTCAGTTAGCAGGATTTTACACCATCATGGTAGATGAAATGACAGATAATGAGACTGGTGATTCATCTGATCTTGAACATCTTGTTATCTTTTTTCGCTGGATGGATGACAGTTTACAAATTCACGAAGATTTTATCGGTCTTCATTCAATAGAAGTTTATTTTAAGATGCTATTTTAATCGTAAATATCATTCAGGTATAAATACTGCGATAAATGCAAATTTTTTGATTCTTTTTTTACTCCTTATATTTATCATATAAATATTGTGGGCTGTATATTTTTACTGCTTTATCGATTAAGTTTCTTATTTTTGCAGAAAATTTGCTGTTTAATTTCAGCTTTAGCGTTTCTTTCGTATTTACAGGATGATGTCATTTTACGAATGATCCTCAAACTGGATAATACTCGTGGATAATGTCACGACGGTGCAGATGTATGGCAGGTAAAAAAAAGAGGTTGCAACAGCGATAAAAACATTAAATCGAATATGCCTGTATACAGATTGTTATGGGCATGCCTTGAATCTAACTAAAGAAGATTCTTTTAGAAATGTTAATTGTTGTCATAAATCTTTGCAGCAATAAAAGAATTTTTTGTAAACTTGTAAAAAAAAATCCAAAAAGAGAAACTCATCTATTTATATTGCTCTCTCAATATAATTTTTGTTTCTACGGACCTGATGATATAGTGGCTAGTTATCGGCTAGCCACTTTTGACGGGTGGTACTAATAGTCCACTAAGTAAACGATGAGCAAAACTACAGTGGTTCGCTCAAAATATCTAAATAGGTTCAGTAAAATTCTGCTATAGAATGTTTGCTACGGTATAAGTAGCAATAAACTAACAAAAAAAAACTGCCATAAATTTTAACCAGTTAATCAATCAGACTGAAAATTGATCCAAACTTTGATTTGGCCATAGACTACATTTGCACCAATTTTTATCAAATTATATAGAGTGATTCTCATTCTACAATCGCTTTTATTGGCGCGCAATGAAGTCAAAATGTCACTCAATTTGAAAATTAAATTTCTTTTAGCAAACAAAATTAAAGACAAAATTTCCATCACAAGGTACCTTGATGTGTACGTTATCTTTTCATATAAGTGGTGTTCTTGGGTCATCTAGGTTAGTATTATCAGGATTTATGATAACCATGCATAAAACAACAAGAAAACAATATTGCGAGATCATTTTTGTTGTCAGTAAAAGTTTGTGTTGATATAAAGTTGCTTAACCATATCGCATTATTGGTATTTTACACAGTTTTTAAAAATGTAAAACACTTTCAAAATAAAACATGTTTTATAGTCAGTGTATAATTTATATATACCTTAAATGGTACACAGTTTATATATACAATTCTTTTGCATCAAACATTAAAACACTTTTAAACTTGAGGCTCCGGGAATAAACATTTTTGAGTTTTAAATTAAAATAAAAGACAGCGCCTGATTAGCAAATTGAACTGCTTTTGTTTTCATTCTCAAATTTTTAATTTGATAAATCAATATGAGCAGCAATGACGCAGAAGTTAGGAGGGTGGTTTCTGAAGATGGCCTTAGAATCAAGAGGTCTAAGGTTTGATGCTTGTTCTGGCCATATAAGTGACAGTAGTGAAAAAGGTAGAATTAACTTCTTTGTAAAATGGTTTTCCGGGGTGCTCTGTTACAAGGCCGTTGGAGTACCTTCATGAACTAAATAAAAAGTTAATTTTTTTCGATTATTTTTTTATAACGTGCGTGTTTATGTTTGTAATGAAAGCTTGATTTTTTAAAAACAAACATAAACAAAACAAAAACAAAAAAAAACAGAAAAAAAAAAGTCCAAAAAAATTGAAACAACTCTTTTTTCAAAAAATTCTTTTTAAAATTTTTTTTTTAAAAAAACAACTTTTTATAAGGTGTGTACCAGAAAAAATGTAACAACTTTTTATAAGGTGTGTACCAGAAAAAACTTGAACGTGTAGTGTTACGGAAAAAAACTTGATGTAGTGTTACGGAAACCGTTTAATTAGCTAATTGTTTTAAAATTTTTTTGTATTAGTGTTATTCAAAACTTAATCAACTCTGTCATCAAAACAACTATTTTTAATTGAAATATCATAAAATCAAAATAAAAAGTAAGAAAAAATTAGCATTTTCTAGTTGAAAATTTTGGTGCATCAATCAAAATAATTTCTAAAAAGTAACAGATTACTTTATGAACAGTGCAGAGCCTTGTGAAACGATTTAAGGACACTGCTACAATCAAAAAGAAATCAGTAGTGAATGACCCAAATAATCTTTCGGCATCGGTTTCGTCCGAAATTTCATTATGAAACCGAAAACCGAAATTTCATTATGAAATTTCGGTTTCGGTACATTTTATAAATTCGGTAAAAAGCAAAATTTCGGTTGAAAAACGTACCAAAAACCGATTTTATACCGAATTCTCAAAAAATATTTTGAGAATTTTCACAAAAATATTGAGAATTTTCACAAAATACTTCAAAAAAATCTTTTTTTCAGAGAAAATTTGCCACGTTAAATTTCGCTATTATTATATATCGCCAACTTATGTATGAAATCTCAATTTGGGAAACACGTGTAATTATTTCTAAAATAATTTAAAAATAAATTCATTTGCCAAAGTTTTTTTTTTAATTCATACTTTTGTTTAATATATTATATACCAAAAATTTTGGTATTAAGTCCAAAAAATTTGGTATTCAATGTCAAAAATATGAATAAAAAAAAAGATTTTTCAACGAGTTCTTAAGTGCCGATTTTGAAATTATCGAAAGAAATTTGTAAAAAGACGAATTAAGTGGTTTGGCTTATGAGCCCTTCATGCGATTATTATTTTAAAAAAATGCCCTTTATGCGATTCTTATTATTTTTTTAATACGACCCGTTTTTAACATATAAACATAAAAGGTCACGGGGCAACTGATATGCTAAAACTTGTCAAAAAGACAATGTTGATGCACAGCATCAACATTACTGATTGCCGTGGGCAGTCGTATGATAATGTCTCTAAAATGTCTGGGGTCTACTCTGGGTTGCAAGCACATTATACAGACTTGAATCCACTAACTAAATATGTTTTATGCGCTGGACATGCTTTAAATCTAATTGATGTTTCAGCAGTTGATCCTTGTATCACAACTGTATCTTTCTTGGCTATCCTCAACATCTTTATAATTTTTTTCTGCTTCAACACATTGCTGGTAAGTCTTGATACCAAAACTCAAAAAAGGTGTATATGTTCTAAAAAATTTCTCACAGATTAGATAGTCTGCACGTGCATATGAGCAGCAAAATCTTACTTTAAAGATGCATAGCAATGCACTTAGCACACACTGTTTGATAAAGAATTTTTTTTTTTTGTATTTTTTTTTTTTTTTGTATTTTATTTATTTTGCTGTTTAACAAAAATAATCAACATACACATATACAAGAAAGATAAAAAATATCCGTAAAACGAAGAAAACAGTAAAATCTTGTCAACAAGCACCGTTTTTGTACATACAATATAAAGTATAAACTTTTCTTATACCAATGATCTTTATAAAATATAGAATTTTTTTGTTGTTGTTGTTGTTATTTGGGTGCCCCAAGAAGACCTTATGGTTTTAACAGGAAGTCGCGGAAGTGCATTCAACCAGAAAGTTCACTCTCGTGACGTGAAAATATGTCCAGAGCTCGTTTCGAACCTGGATCTCCTGCTACTAAAGCAAGCGCTCTAACCACTGCGCCACGGCCGCAAAATCATCAAAACTATTGGTACCTTAGAATTAAACAAACAAGGGCTCAAAGAAGATGAAGATGACAATACGTCATCGCAATCTTTTAATAAGGCTTTTCATATATACATCATCGCAATCTTTTCATAAAGCTTTTCATATATGCTTCCAATACAATATAGATATCATATTAATAACCCTAATGGTTGAGTACTTGCCCATGATATATTTCCATAACTGATTAATCAATGAATTAATCCAAAATATATTAGTTTGAGACATTGTTTATTGATATACGAACAAACTTGATACATTATACCAATTATATTGGTGATCTTAGATTGAATATATCTTATTTGAGGAAGCCAAGATAAATTCTCATCAACAAAAACTCGTTAAAAAACAAGCCAGTATAAGAACCTTATACTGGCTTGTTTTTTAACTAATTTATCATTTAAGATTAGGTCAGGCAGCTAAAGAGGAAGGTTTTCTTGCGTTTTTTTTTATGGAATATTATGTAGTTTGTTTTCTCTGAGTTAAGCGAGAGTTTGTTAGCCCTAAACCAATTATTTACTTTATTTAGTTCAGTATTCATTTCTGCATATAACTTCTTAATATCATTGTTAATAGGAAATAAATTTGTATCATTAGCAAACATGACTGAATTCAGTTTTAAAGACGCATTGCACAAGTCATTTATATTTTAGTTAAAAACAATAGTGGACCTTTGGATAGATTCTTGGGGAACTCCACATAAAACTTTTAATACTCCAGATTGTATATTACATATATATTGTTTTCTATTGGTAAGATAAGTTTTATTAATTATACTATAATGCTTTAGTTTATCTAATAGGACGCAGTGATCAACTGTATCAAATGCTTTTGATAAGTCAATATAAAGTCCTACAGTAAATTTATTTTGTTTAAAACCATTAGTTATTTGATCAACTAATTCAATGAATAATGAATAAATATTAACTTAATATAAACTAATGAATAGATATTATTATTATTATTATATAAACTAATGAATAAATATTACTTTAACTATCATTTAAGTTAATAATTAATATATTCATACGCTCGTGCATTTATTAACTGTACCATTTGTACCAACTGTACCATTTGTACCAACTGTACCATTTGTACCAACTGTACCATTTGTACCAACTGTACCATTTGTACCAATGTACCATTTGTACCAACTGTACTATTTATATAGAAATTAAAACTGTACAACTTTTCATCATTCATATATTAAAATTACAAACAAAATTAAGTAAAACAAATAAAAAACAATTTTTTGTCAATAAAGTAAAAACTTTATTGAACTCGATCATCTCGAACTTTTTTTAGTCCCTGTCAATAGATCCTAACAGCCATTTAGATGGTAATTTGTCCATTTAACTTTGTCCAGTTGACCAGCTGTTGATGCAGGGTAGCTTTTTTTTCTGCATTTGCATAATAAAATAAGGAATAATAATCAAATAAAAAGATTATAATACAAAACTTTATTATAAAATATTTATGATGGTGATGATGATGATGATGATGATGATGATTATGATGATGATGATGATGATGATGATAATGATGATGATGATGATGATGATGATGATGATGATGATGATGATGATGATGATGATGATGATGATGATGATGAGTTAATAGAGTTCTATAATAATAATAACCTATTGGTGTAAAATGAATGTGTTAATATGCAATGTACCCCATATTCAAAAACCCGTTAATACATTTCCAATTAAGTCAGCCAGTATTTGGGCTTCGAAAGAAGGCAAAATGATAGCATATTTGCCCATTAGATTGGTTAAAAAAATTCTCGGCCCAATAAAGAGCCATTATACAGTGTTTACAGGGACTTGTATATTTATAATATGCGTTTAAAATTCAAAGTACCATTAAA